CTGTGTTGAGTGGCTTTGAGTCTGTTTTTTGGCAAGTGTGTCTGTTTGGTCTGTGTCCTAAATGTCATCATTTTTTCCATTTAATTTTGAATAAAAAGTGTTTCTATTCAAAATAAAATAAAATGGAGAGCTCTTTGTTATTAATAAACCAACTTTAGCATGGATGAAGATCTCAAGTGAATAAAGCTGCAATATTATGAATAACATATGCTTTAGCATGGGTTTCAAACAATCAGTTTGTCCACCCAGAAAGAAGCCATTCCTACAAACTTTTTCAGTGTGGATTTCAGCAAACAAGGTTGTCTTGTTGCATCCTTCAAAATGTTCAGGATGAACTAAAGTTTAGAGATTATTTTCTTTGCTTTCATTTTAAGGTATTGCCAATATAAAATCACATCTGGTTTGGTATGATCAAATCTCATTTACTAATCATAAGGAATGGAAGAGAATTTGGAGTGAATTAACTACCTTGTCATCCATTGCATCCTTGTTTAAAATTGCATCCATTATCCTTCTCAACATGACAGCAACATATATGCATTTTGGACGAAAATTGTCCTGACACACCTACGAAAACAAGAGGGACACAAAAAAATGTTATGATCAAACCGATGAAGCATGTTATAAGATGTTTTAAATTGAGAGAGAGAGAGAGAGAGAGAGAGAGAGAGAGAGAGAGAGAGAGAGAGGGAAGGAACACCTTACCTCAACATTAGCAAGAAACACATCTTGAAGAACAGTCATTACTCTACCGTCCTATTAGAATAATGGAAACAATTGAAGCCACAAATAACAAATCAGAAAATTTTAAAGAAAAGATAAATTCAAAAGAACAATGACACATATCAGCAAATAAAAAGAAGAAATAACTAACATTCTCAGATGAAGCACCAGCAAAACTGAACCTCTTCACCTGAAACATGAAGCAGCAAACTACTAATTTAATATGCAACTGATTTTAGGTTTATTTTTTTGTTGCAAAAGGTCACAGCTAGCGTTTGAAAAGAAAGGAAAGAGATACTAGAAATAGTTACAGTTCATTTCCACAAATACACAGAGATAGAAATTTAGAAATGCAACTGTAAGATATTTAGACTTCAATTCAGAATAGATCAATGGTGGTGGAGATGACCTCTTGAGCAGGACTCATTTGGTGTTCTGCTATTCAAATATTGGAGTGTAGTCTGAGTGGGTAGGACTCCACCATTATGGAGCGAGGTTCACTTAGCTGCCTCTGGAAATTCATCTCTCAGGCTTCCCTTTTTTCGCACAGGGATCCAACTTTGTGGTGGGGAATGATTCTAAAATTAAATTTGGAGGGAGATGTTTGGCTAGGTTAGTTTTCTTTTGAGTCTTTAATCCCCCACTTATATCGGTTTTCCACAATCCACAAAGTTGTTATCTCATCCATTACTCTAAGTAAAATTCTTTAAATTTCATTTACTCTAAGTATTATCCAGGAGCTCTAAGAGGCCTAAATTCCTTGCGGAGCAAATAAGTAAATGGTAAGGTATTTGAGGGCCACGTACCCATAATAACAAGAAGTACCAAAACCATTAGCGCACCACACTCTAAGGCACACTGATGTTTTCAATCAACCTTCCACAAAGATATACCACTACATTGGTCAAAGAAGGGCACATCCTACCATGCAAATATCTAGGTTGACAGTGAAAGGGCATAAGCTTCCTATGAGTATTTCAATCAACCTTCCACAAAGATATACCACTACATTGGTCAAGGAAGGGCACATCCTACCACGCAAATATCTAGGTTGGCAGTGAAAGGGCATAAGCTTCCTATGAGTAGATGAAATCTGCATTACATGGACCTTTACTTCACCTTGGCCCGGCTGTGTCAATACAACAGGAAATTGGTAAAATCATGGCTTACTAATAGGAATACTACAAATGCGTGGAGACCTTATGGAACAAAGATGTATTTGGCACTTGTGCATGTACTCACATCCAAGAGCCATGCCCAAATCCACGTAATGTAGATTGATAAATAAGAAATAAACAGGAAGAGAGAGAGATTGAAATAATAGCCCCCGCATTAATTGCAAGGCCATATGGAATTTCAGAGCTGTTTTGGTCTCTACTGAAAGAGATGTATCCCAAAACAATAAAATTGATGCTTGAACATCTGAAGTCTGTTTCCAGATAATAAAATGAAATCAACACAATTCAAAACAAGGGTACTACACGGAACACCTTTGTTTCAAGGTAGGCCAAGGCTTGCTCTTGCTTATGTATGCCTTCCTTTGCACAATCCTGAAATTAGAGAAATAAACTCAAAAGATGAGACTAATACAGAAAAGGACGGGTTTGCAGGCCCAAAATGTACAAATAACAACTGAAAAAGGTAAACTAATATAAAAAGTTAAAAA